TCTCACCAATGAAAAGAAGATAGAAAACTTTTCAGACTTCAACTGACTGACTACTAGTTCTGGGTTTGGGTTTTTTTGTTGTTGGGGGAATCACTAGGGGGGTTGTTTTTGTTTGTGGATTTGGTGGGTATTTTTCCAGTGGTGTGTTCTGGGGTGAGGGTTTTTTTTGATGCGGGAAATTGTTGGGATTGAGAGGTGTATTTAGATATTTTTAAACACTGCTGAAAGATCAAAATTTGAAGTGCTCAAGGAAAAAATCGGTTTTGAGAACTACCCTAAAATTACCAAACTTGACCACCTTTTCCATTACATCTGTTATTTAGTGAACATGAGTACAGGCAGAATCTGTTATTACTGGATTAACCAACAACATGGTAGTAAGAGAAGAGAAGAACAAAAATTGTAGATGCTTTCATTTTTTTCCCAGAACCTTTAAAATATGCGTCACTATTTAGAAGATTGCACAGTGATACATGGGTGGCAATACTGAATTTCTCAACACCAAAATATTTTGCAAGAACCTACTACATTGAAAAGTTCAGAAGTGTAAAGATTTACTTGCTCAGTTTGCAAGTGTTGCAAAAAAACCCCAACAAACAAAAAACCATCGCTAAACCAATAGTTTTTTTGTTTTAAACTTACAAATGACTACCAAAATATCACATTGATCAGCCTCATGCTGTACAGTATCTCTTTGGCCTTGCCCACAGAATACACACAGTGTCTGTTTCACATTCACTAGGCTCCTCTTTCTGCTCTTAGTGCAACACTTCTGACACATTACCAATAAATAGCCCTGCTGGTTCCAGCACAGCTGTTTTACATTTGAAACTGATAACACAATCAAGGTTATCCCATGGTATTGTCAGGAGATGTCAGGAGAAACATCTAAAGCCCACTTTTCTTTCAAAAGCATACCTGAAAGTACCTAAAGATAGTCTGGAAGCAACTAAAAGTAATCTTCATAAAGGATACAAATAATATTTGATAAATAACATCAGATTTTCTGTCACAGATAATTCTTAGATAATTCACAGAAAAACTCTTTGTCAAGAATGCATTAACAGAATTACACTATGAACAAAACAACACAAAAATCAAACACATTTCCTCCAAACCAGACGCAAGAATTTGGGAATAAAGGTAGACAGTCCAAACTAATAAGATCAGAGCCCAGTTAACAAGATTACATCTAAAAATGCTTTGCCACTGAAAAAGAGAGGAAAAAAGAAAAAGACAGCTGATGGCCGAGAACAATGAGAATAAGCCCAGCAGAATACTGCAGACTTTGCATGGTGTCCTAAAGGCAGATCAGATTGTTAGAATGTTAAGCTTGGTTCAAGAGCCTTTTGTAAAAAATGAAGGTAATAATCAACAAAAATTCAGGCATCAAGAACATACCACAATTTAAAAATTTGTAAAGCATTTATATAAGACTTTGTGAAACTCCAGAGACAAGTTCAGAAACTTTGCTACTCTTTCAGGCAACAATAAGCAAAGATTTGCAAGTCTAAAAGGGCTTAGAATATCTAGAGAATAAAGACATTCCAATCTAAATTTTTTGCTAGTTTACTGCAAATAACACGTTCTGTCACAGCAGAGTAGCAAGGCCCCTTATTCACCCTCCAGGCCAAGCGAAGGCTCCCACCTGATCCCACAGAATAGAAGCAATATTAAAAGTCTTTTCACTCCAAAACAGAGGTTTCGCTTATTAGTTTCCTTGCAATCAGCCAGAAAGGCCATCAAAACAACCTTACAGTCTATGAAAAAAAATAAATTGCTTGGTTCCAGATAATTTAAGTGACACTCCAGATACACTACCTTATCATTACTAAGTTTGCAATCACATTTAAAGGGCCAAATTCAATTTTAAGAACAGGTGGCCAAAATGAATGAGCAATCCATACTTCACCTATTATTTCAGCTTTGTGAGTCAGAAGAACCACAGCAAGACCACTTGAGTAAGGCAAAGCCACATAACGCAACTTCTAGTAAGTTGATCTTGGCCACTGCATTACTCAAGTAGATGAAAAGTAGAGAACAAGTCCTCGTTCTTAAATGAGGAATGCAGGATTATGTGCCTCCGCTTCCCAGATGTGTAGCACTGGGATAAAAATGCTGCTGAACCCAGCTTACACAGCATGGCAATGGAAAAAGCTTAAAATGATTCTTCAATTTTCTATCAAGTGTTTTGTTTATGCTGTTATTGTTTAAAGGTGTCACATTACAGAATTTTTAACAAACGCATTGAAAGATTTTCCTTTAACTTGATTCATCCTTCTAAATATACTGAGGCAAGAACAGCTTATTCCAACTTGACAGCATGCCATTATAAAACAATGGCAGAGCACATATCATCAATTACACATGCAAAGTAACCTAAGTACAAAGTCATATATTCTCCCAGCTTAGCTGCCACCAAAAACAGGGCAGAAAAAGCTTGAATTGTCTGAAAACATGCACAGCAATTTCACTTTGGTCCTAGTCTTCATAATCACCTATTCAAAGTCATAACCTTGTTAAGTACCTCAGAGAGACATCTCATTTGGTAGGTCAAGTCCTCTCCCCTTAGTTCAGAGTACCATGGGTTCTTCTACTAAACACATCACGTTTTAACCTTTGTCACAAGAACTGTGCCAGAACCCTGCTCAGCTTCCTCAAAGATAAAAAAACACCATAAAAACACTATGTTAGATTTCTTCAAGCATCACCAGATGTCATACAGCAAGACGACAATTACTAACAGAAGCTTAGTCAAAGAACCTGTCAAGCAGCTCTGGTACATACAAATATATTTAAAATTAATGCTGCTTCTGAATACAAAAAAGGTATTTTCAAGAAGTCTTCTGAAATACACTTTTCTAGAAAAATACTGCAATGGTTAACACTGAGAAAACCTGAAAGTAAAAAACTTTAAGTGTGACTGACATTATCAAATAGATCATACACCTTTAGCACAAGTCTATAAATCAATTTCTTTTGAGTGTTTCCTCAGTTGTCCATTCTTATTCGGTTTCTAGCAATCTTGTCTTATTTTTCGGGGTGGAGAGAGGGGGCTGTGTTAAAGAAAGGCTGTAGTTCCCCTGTGCTGGTGAGACTTCTAAACCAGTCACTGGTTATACAGGAAAACAAAGTCTGATACAGGAACGTCAAATACCGAGGAAAAAAAGCCTAAAAGATGACTGCTGCCATTGAAGCTAGAAGCAAGTTTCTCAACATGCAAGATTACTTCCAGTATTTCAGCTTTAAATGAAATGCTCTTACAGGGTATTTTAACCAAATTCAAGAACTTAAACATTAGTTCATTAGTTCAATTCTGTTACATGGAAAAATTTTCAGCTTAGGCCTCCTTAGAGCACCAAACATTCATTCACTTTTAAAAAAAAATAAATAGCTTAACGCCTGCTTTTCCAGTTTGGTGTTGAAACACCTGACATCCACTTGTTTTGGCTGTTTTCCCAGTTATCCTTGTTTTAGCATGTAAGTACACTATCATAGCTTTCCAAAATGCAGTTTCTGTTCTTTCAGTTGTGAAATAAAGGCATCCATTTGAAGAAAAGAAGGAAACTGTAGTCTAAAATAAAGACTAAATCTTTGCTCACATAAGCAACTCTGTTTAAACTGCAATTATTATGCTTAATTCAGGTATTTTTCTTCTATTCCTGCAAAAGGCTGTAGTGAATGAGGACAGATGGCCGAGACAGCACTGTCTCCTCTGCTACACAGCTCCAGCTTACACTCGGGACTACAGCCAGTTGTGTCTGGAGGTGGAAAAAGGAACAAGGGAAGCTATTAAACTCGGAAAGGAAGACTTGGTTTAGGCTTTGTTAAAATTAATACATGATCTAGGATATGTCATCATTATGACCTTACAATAGACCCTTACAGGCCATTATTGACGTAAGCGCACACACAGCAAAGTATGGGAAGGGTTAACAGATTAAATGAAATCCCAAATTTGACTCAATATCTAAATTGAAATTGTTTCTGCAACTCAAAGGAAAAAAAATCCTTTATGCTATAGTGCAAACATAAGAAATACTAACTTTAAAAACAATTATTCAATATCTAAATTGAAATTGTTTCTGCAACTGAAAGAAAAAAAATCCTTTATGCTATAGTGCACACATAAGAAATACTAACTTTAAAAACGAAGTCTAAGCAAAAAACTAACTTCTGTACAAAGACTTTCTGAAGAAAACGGAAGTTTCATTTAATCATTCTAATGCACACATTCAGTAGTTGGGAACTAACCCAGTAGAACACGTCAATAGTCTCAAGAGAAATAACTCCTCCTAGTCTGCCACACCAGTGACTTTCTTCCAGATCAGGAAATTATCAAACACTACTGAAAGTTTCAGACAGAATATGAAACAAGGAAGCCACATAACAAGCAATTGGGAGGGATTAATCTTGGCACTTTAACTGTACGTAAATCCTAGTGACGCATCTGTTGCGGGCAACAGAAAGGGGCTGCCATTTCATTCCTGGTTGAGGTTCTCTGCAGTCTCAAGCCTCGCAGCACATAACTATGAAAGGAAAAGATACATGCCTGAGCACGTCCCTTGTCCCAACACGAGAAGGGGGAGGGTTAATCACGTCCATCCGCCATTTTCTGAGCGGAGGAGGAAGACATGTTGGAACAAAAAAAAAAAAGCAACAAAAGAAAGCAGCCATTTCCAGTACCGGCACCAAACTCTCAACCTCACCGAGAACATTGGCTATCACCGAAACAGTCTCACACTTTGTTCTAGTCACGACAAGAATTTTTCACAGCTCAGGAACTGCTGAAGATCTCACTTTCAAAGCACAGTATGTACGGATAAGAAAAGACAGTGGGTCCAGGAAGAGAATACCCCACTAGTTTTTGAGCTCAGAATGGAGCATTTTCCCCGAACAGCCCAATCCCTCCCAGATAAATCTCTTTTTAATGGCGGTGTCCTGCCTTACACTAATATTAAAGAAAAGTCACTTTACTGGCATATGTGAATCACTCCTACCGTATATGTGGGATGCCAACTCCTCCCTGCAGAATCTTGTATAGCTTGCTTTCATACAGCAGCTGGGGATGTCTGGCCTTCTGAGACTCCAACTTTACAGCAACTTCCTACAGTAAGAAGGAACAAGGAGTCAGAGCAGAGCGTCCACCAAGCATAGACTTGCCACTGAGGTTTAAGGGGCACAGCACTTCAATATCCCACACACAGCCCTGCTGAAAATGCTTTGAAGTATAATTTTTTTTTTAAGCTCTCGGTGCTCAAAGGCCTGCATTTTGTTGCGTCTTCCAATAAAATCCATATTGTGATGTTCTGTACACAAATATCCATTCCAGGACATGAAATTGAGCTGGAGATGTAAAGTCTTCAAATCCATGTAATTGAGGAAGAACATACGTGGGTGTTTCTTCTTTACAGCTCAGAGCCGTGAGGGGGAGGAAGGAAAAAAAAAAAAAAATCAAGCAAAAAAGAGCTGAAGAAACAGGGAATCTTCTTTGTTTCTATTATTGTTGATGAAAATGAGACACGGTGTTCCCCAGCTGAGAGAGAAGGGGGTTAGATGACTGGTGGGAGAGGGACGACTTTGGCCGCTCATAAAAGACAAAGTATGTTTCCCCACAATGGTTGCCTCCTCTCCCTAGCACTGCTGGGTGGGGGAGACCACGGCCACAAGGCTCTGCTGTCGGAAGGAGCCGTGCCACCCCCCCCGGTGATGAAGGCCCTCAGATGGGGGGAGCCCCTCAATCCCCGGGGCTTCACCCACCCCGCGGAGGGCGACTGAGCCACCCTGGCCAGATGGGACCTCAGAAGGGGCAAGTGGGGGGCAAAACAAGGCTTCAAGTCGGCCTCGGAAACGTTATCGCCTGGGTCTCCGGTTCCCCCCGTGAGGAGGGGGAAGGTGGGGGAGTGCGAGCCGCCCTTACCTCCCCGTTGGTGATGTTGATCGCCAAATAGATGTCCCCGAAGGAGCCCGACCCGATCTTCCGCACCAGCTTGTATTTGCCTCCGACAATGAACTCGGCCTTGGAGCCGCTGCTACTCGCCATGGCGAGGGGCGTCTGAGGGGCCCTCCCGGCGCTGAGGGGCTCGGGGGGATAAAGAGGGCACTACCGCCGCCCCAGAGAAGGGGAAAGGGGCAGGGGAGGGAGAAGAGGGGAGGGGAGGGAGGGGGCAGAACAAGGAAGGCTGGTCCCCGCCGCTCAGCTCCAGCCGGGCCCCTCCGGCAGGCGCCCCACTCCGCGGCTCTGTCCCGCTCGCCGACCGGGCGGCGCTCGGCTCTCGCCGCCCTCCAGAAAGACGAGAAGCGGCCACCAAAGCGCTACGAGGACAAGGGAAAGGGAAAAGGGGGGAGGGAAAGGGAAACGCGAAGCCCGCCGGGTCCCGGCCGCCGCCGGCCCCTCACTCGGCCGCCGCCGCCATCTTGTCTCTCAACCGCTGCTACCGCGGACACAAAATGCCCCCAGCCTGCAGCCGCCGCTTCTTCACCGCGCGGGGCACGCTGGGAGCGGGGCGGGGCGGGCGCTGCGCATGCGCTGGGGGAAGGCCGCCTCCGTCCCGCCGCGCGCCTGCGCGCAGGGCAGGGAGAGGGCGGTGAGCGGCCCCCTGCGCGTGCGCACGCACCGCCTGCCCCCGCAGCCAATGAGCGGCGACCTTCCTCACCCGCCCCCCCGCCCTGGCGACGCGGCCCCGGCTGGCTGCGCGCATGCGCACTCCTCGAAGCCGGGCCCGGGCGGAAGAGGAAGAAGAGGCGCATACGTGCCCTCACTCTCTTCTTAAAGGGGCAGGCGCCCCCACTCCGCCTCGGCTGGGCCTGCGGCGACTGGGGCTGGGAGTAGAGGGGGGCTACACAGCCGCCAGGCCCCCTCCTGAGGCTCCCCCTGCGTCCCTCAGGCGGTGGGGAGCTCCTCGCGGGCCGGGCGTGCAGGCTGGCTGGCTGTGGGGTGGCTGTGGGGCTCAGGTGTGTCACCGCCGTGACGCAGGCCTCGCCCCTCTGATGTGGGGTTGCGGCCGGGCTGCTGGCGCCCTGTCAAGGTTCTTATCAAAGCCCAAACCCCGATCTGCGTGTCTGTTAATGGTCTGGTTTCGTATATAAATGAACCGAAAACAACCTGTCTCCTGGCCTCCTGCCGCTGTGGCCCTGCAGGATCCACAGCCTGGTGGGTCATGGGGCTGAGTTGAGGAGCCGCCGGCATCTTCCCCACTCCTGTGTGCACGTAAACATCTGCTTCATTACCCTTCCCTGCTCGGCCTGTCATGTCTGGTTTATCCATCCAGCCTTCAGCCTCGGCCTGCTGGGGTGGCAGTGCCCAGCGCTGCAGACCCTGGACCAGCCTCATGCATTTCTGCCAGGCGTTTCTCAACCCAGGTGCAGGTTCAGAAAGACCCCGTAGAATCACGACAGAATCATAGAATGGTTCGGGTTGGAAGGGACCTTAAAGATTATTGAGTTCCAACCCCCCTGCCCTGGGCAGGGATACCTCCCACCAGACCAGGTTGCTCAAAGCCCCATCCAGCCTGGTCTTGAACCCCTCCAGGGACAGGGCATCCACAACTTCTCTGGGCGATCTGTTCCAGTGCCTCACCACCCTCACAGTAAAGAAGTTCTTCCCAATGTCTAGTCCAAATCTACCTTCTTTCAGTTTAAAACCGTTACCCCTCGTCCTATCGCTACACTCCCTCATAAAGAGTCCCTCCACCTCTCTTCTGTAGCCCCCTTTAGGTACTGGAAGGGGCTATAAGGTCTCTCTGGAGCCTTCTCTTCTCCAACCTGAACAACCCCAACTCTCTTAGGCTGTCCTCATATCCGAGGTGCTCCAGCCCTCTGAGCATCTTGGTAGCCTCCTCTGGACCCACTCCAACAGGTCCATGTCCTTCTTATGTTGGGGGCCCCAGAGCTGGGGGCAGTACTCCAGGTGGGGTCTCACCAGAGCAGAGTAGAGGGGGCAGAATCACCTCCCTTGACCTGCTGGGGATGCACCCCAGGATGCAGTTGGTTTTCTGGACTGTGAGCGTATGTTTCCAGGTCTCGTTGAGCTTCTCATCAACTAACACCTGCAAGCCCTTCTCCTCAGGGCTGCTCTCAATCCATTCTCTGACCACACTGTGTTTGTGCTTGGGATTGCCTTGACTATGCAGCCGCGTGGCCCCCCTGCAAGGACCATGATGCAGGTTGAGCCACCCAGCATGGCCACAGCTCTTGGCCCTGCAGCCCCCCCCTTCACATGGCTGTTACACCCAGCTCTTCTCTTTTCCTGGATTGCTTTGACCCAGCAGCTCGTGCTCCAGGAGCTGTTTCTTGCTGTCTGTCAAAACCGAGCTCTCCTCCATTGCCCCCTCGCTCGGTGCTGTGAGTTTTTCCTTTGCGGGAACACAAAACTGTGAATTCCCGGTGACTCATCATCACTCCCTGTCAGAGCGGCGTCTTCTGCTGTGCAAGCCTACATTTGGGAAATGATTCAGTCTGCAGGAGAAAGAAAGATCTACAGTAATGTAGCTCATGCATGTAGAAGGAAAGACTACTCAGGGTGTCTACTTTTAAGGTGGGCAGTCAGAGAAACTGCTTTCCCACTTGCCTGGTGCACCCAAAGCCGTAAGAATAATAAAAAAAGTTTGATTTTAAGACTAGTCTCTGCACAGATTTTTTTGTAATAGTTAAAAAAGAAAAGTGAGATTAAGAGATCCAGGTTAGGACGCTGCTGTTCCCACTGAGATTAAGAGATCCAGGTTAGGACGCTGCTGTTATCAGTGGGAAGTTGTTCATATAAAAGTAGAGGAGTCCTCTTAGCAGAACAGCATCCACACCGTGACAGAGGCACTCACCATGTTTATTGCACTCACCATGCTGCTTTCTAGCTTGGTAAAGGCACTGTGGCACAAACACTTTCTGCCTGCACAAGTACAAGAAAGTCCTGGCTCATGTCCATCTGGCTGTTAGGCAGCGAGGGGTGGGTGATTTGCCTGTGTTTCTTCCTGTGGTGGACTCGGTCAGCTCGATAGCGAGAGACCAGGAGGAATGGAGCAGTCAGCAACGCCCCGAACTGCAAATACCAGCTCCAAGTCCCCCTTGTATTTCAGGGAGCTTAGATCCAAGGTTTTTCTACAGTTCTCACCGCATTTCTAGTAAAAATAAAATGCAAAGGATTCAAAATCAGCCAAGACTGTGCCAGATGCACCAGAATGAAAACGATGCTCCGAGAGCAAGCTGGCCTCCAACTCGTTCCCACCTCTGTCGAGGTTCTGTCGAGGAGCATTTGTGCTAGCAAGAATATCTGCACTCTTGTCACTCAAAAGCAATGTGGATCTTGTGCGGAGGAGCTCAGATACATCACACACTAGTTAAGGGGGCTGGAGTTTCAAGGGCAAATGAGGTTTTTTCATCATCACACTCATTTCTAAATGCAGAGCCCCTCTGTCCTCAGTTGCCCTCTCATTGCTGTTGATGGTGATTTGCAGGCAGCTTAGGACTGATGTGCACTTACCAGTCTCTGGGGTTTGGTTGTTTGTAATGGTTGCTCTGGATGGGATCTGAGCAGTTAGGAATCGTTTGGCTTGAGTCACTTATCCTTGGAGGAGCTGGAAAAACAGGTCGGCAGCTCCTGGCCAGTAAATAGACCACGCATGGGTATGCAGGAGAGCAGGATCTCCTGGGCTATGCAATGCTGCCACCTCCTGCCTGCTGGGGGACATCTCTGTGTCCAGGGGACACTGCTGGTGCCTGGGGCCAGGCGACATCACACAGGACAGGGACTGATCCAACCACACCCGGAGCAAACACAGCTAGGCACACATCTTCCCCAAAATGCCTGCAGTCTGGTTGGGTGTTGTGCAAAGATGACCAACAGTCAGCATTTGGTATTTTTGTGTCTTGGTCATTTTCAAAACGCAGCAGGGATGGGAGTGGGGGAATTCAGAGGAGGATCATTCTAGGCAATGTGGGAAGGGCTGCAGGACAGGCTGGAGGAGAGCAGAAATCTGCCAGCATAAACCCGGCTAAAACCAGGACACAGAAGAGATGGAAGACTTACCAGCACAGCTGCAGCTCCATCACCCCTGGCCGGGAGCAGTGAGGATACCTGTGAACACGCTGCTGCACTGGGACCAGGAGTGTAGGGAACACTTCCACCCTGTCTCTAGCCCTGGCAGCTCCAGGCATCCTGATGTTTACTGGAGAGGTGAAGGAAGAGGAAGAGCTGGGGACCCCTGTGTGCCACCATCCCACCCTGTGCCACGCCAAGATGACCTCAACCTGTTTCCCGTTTCCTCACTCCTGTGGTTGCAGACCACGGGTCTGTTTGTGGGCTGGGGACATCATGTTGGATCCTATGTTTCAGATTTACATCTCAGCCACTCTAGGGCTCTGTTTATGTCTCCTCTTGTAGCAAGGGGAGGTTGATTTAATTTCAGAGAAGAGGAAAGGTGCATGTCTGGTTTTGGGTATGCAGTGAATTTACTGCAGTGAATGAACAGCACTATCCAGAGCATGACGTTGGAGGAGCCACATAGCCTGATGGATCCTACATGTCCAGAAGCTGTTCAGATCTGGAGGTGGGTTTCACCTGGCATGTTGTCCCCTCTTGCGTCAGGACAAAGTCCACCTGTGCAAGATCTTTTGCTCTTTTTTATTTTGGCCCATGAATCTGTTCTGTCTTCGTGCCACAGTGCAGTAAAATTCCCCTCCCAGCCCCTTGAGGAGAACCACATTTGGGGTTTGCCTTGCTGAGCAGTAGAGATGCTGACAGTGTGGAAGCAGTCCTGGCCTTGTAGAAACCCTGCCACAGCCTCTGCCTTGGGGGTTGTGTCCTCAGTCTTTAGGAAAGTACAAAAGTTGGTGAAGACATACACAAACAACACCAAGACCTGCACAAACATAAAACCCATGGAGATACTGATTTGATTTTAAATGGTATCAGTTAAAAGCACTGAAAATGTAAGTTAGGAGGGGAATTTTAGGCAGTGGTTTCACAGCAGCTGGCATGGTCTGACTCACTGGTGCTCAGACAGGGTGGTCTCACTTCTGTGTCCTTCTCCCCTCCTACTTGCCCTGTTCCCAGTGTCCAGCTCTGGCAGCTCCTTAGACCCTCTGTGGTCAGTTCAGCTCTCCGAGCTGAACAGAAAATTGTCCAAATGGTTTCTCTTGGTGTTTTCTCTGGGTTAATGTTCTGCCAGACTAGTGACTCGAATTGCCTAAGGAGCTCCAGGGATCAGTGCAAGGGTTGTCCCCTGTTGGCAATGACATATACTGTCAGCCAAAACACCAGATGGGAGCGGTCATATGAGAAAACTGAAGAAATATCCCCTGCTGCCTGGAGAGATGCTCTGCAGACACCCAGGAGAGAGCATGAGAATCGTCGAATTCACTGCTAACAGGGAGAACACCAGCCTCAGCACCACCACCAAAGAGGATGGGGTGAGCTGGACAGCTAGAGCACCTGCAAGCTATTCTTTAGCTCCTGTTCATTATTATTTTTTCACATCTTTCAGGGACACTGAAACAATAAAAACA